ACCAAAATACAATGTGTCGTGGATGTAAGTGACTGGCCGAAATCGTGTGACCATTTACCTACATTTATCACTAAAAATACTTAACTGAACTGAGAGTCTATCTCTTTAATTTTAAATATTATTATTTTTAGGTTAAAGTGCATATAATTAAATGTATGCAGTATGCATAATATCCATTATCACGACTAGGTTTGGTGGGAGGGATGCAAGAGGAACTTCAACCCCAGGGGGGTCCAATATTACTAATTAGCACAGCCACCGCAAATCTGACCTCAATAATTAGATTTTTAAATGTTGAATTACATTTTGCTGAAATCGGTATTACGAGATTTCAGGAAAATGGACCCACTACAGCGGTGTAGCTAAATTGCCTATCTAAAACCCCGTGTGATCGTAATTTTATTATTACCTACTCAATTATAGACGGGACGAAAAAAGGGAGAGTCATGTCGAAATCATACATTGCAATATAATAATTCGGTTGTTATTATGTAATTAAGAATCCTATTACATAGAAAAAAATAGTATACACATAATAATATGATCGACGATACTAAATAAGTATACAAAACTATACAACTTTATAATATCCTGATAAGTTGTTCGACGTGTTTGCTCAGTGACATTTTTAGTCTAGTTGTTGCTATCCGTATACACATTAATTCCGTCATATTATGTAATTTTTATATATTATATAATAATAGTCTGCAGGACGGAGGTATATAATTATATATTTTAAATAATTGCCTATACAGGACGTAGGTACCAATAATTTTAATTACTGGCATGAGAATTGAACGATCGACATGTTGTCATTTACCAGCTTATGTCCAAAATGTTTACCTATGTCCATCTGGTTTTCGTATGGATATTACAATATGTACACATCCGAGTCAAATAGAATTTCAAATTTTTCACTTACCTACCTACTGAATCCTATAATTATTACTAATAAAAGTGCCTAATAAATTACACTATACGCGTACTACAGGGTTTATTTGTCTGTTATCAGATCGCTGATTTACAGGTTGTAATTTCAGGTATAATTGCCGGTTCAGTGAAAAAAAAAAAACATTAGAGCTTACTACTTGATAGACCTTGTCCTTTATACTCCCATTAAAATAAGCGTATCTATGCATTCTGATAATCTAACTTCTAACTTCTAAACAGACACCTAGGAGAGTAGTGACCTATAACTTGTACTTCGTTAATATTAATTGACACAGAATAAAACAGTATCGATTAATATAAAATGACAAGTATTAAGACGTAGGTACAACGTATTGTGCATGGAAAAAAATAAGATATTAACAACTGATTACTTGCTTACTTACTTAATACTTACACAATTCAAATTGTACCACACTACAAACGGCTCAGTCCCCTGCAGTGGACCAGTGCACATTTTTCCTAATTTTCTTTCTGCTACAGTATTATAAACATCACGGAACGCACCATGTCAATATATTATAAGATTGCAGTACCCTGTATGATCCAATATAATATTATGTATTCTGTATAGGTAACCCGCGTATACAAACAAAATGTCGTTTTGTGATATTAATTATTATCCGCAGAGAGGGTTCCTAATTTCCTATAGATAGATATAACATCATGATGCGGTCACGTGACCGTATTGTTGGTTTAGGTCGTCTGCGTAGGTTTTGCGTAGTAGTGACTGCATCGCAGCAAAAGGTCGAGGTTTTTTGTTTTTCTGAACAATTGTAAAATTAATTCATACAAACGGCCGGGCGTAAACCTCTCTAAACGCCAAGTCCGCCGATTGTGTCACACGACGCGATTGTTCGTAGTAATTTCCGCAATAATCTGTCCCATACAATGATATTATAATCGGCCTTGGGTAGCTATATGCTTATAAATATTTTATTTTATTATTTTTACAATATATACACGTATATAGGATCGTTTGATTCGCGCGGACGTTTAATTAGTGATTTTTTATTTTGCTTCTTTTTTTTCTCATCGATCGGTCGTAAAAAAAAACCGTCTCGTTATTGTTCGCGTCACTCAACTGTAAAACGCATATACCGTCCTATCACGGGCTATGGTATGACTTTAATATGTCCTTACTCCTTAGCCGATCTAGCCCAACACGCGAATGCCGTGGCACGATTCTCGATTGATTATTGCGACTGGGCGGTGGTATAAGGAGACCGTAAAATGTTATCCAACGGCATTTATTGTTTCATCGAGAAAAACGTTTCCCACGTGTAGGTATAATAGACGCTATAGACGTACACGTATGACCATAAATTATTATAATACACGTCTCAAACTAAATGTTTTTTTTTTTTTTTTTATCAAAACCAAATGCCAAATTGCGGCGTCAGGTGTCAGACTAAATATTTTTTTTTTTTAAGTATTCTCCCAAGTTCCTATAGATTTTTCTAATATTTCTCAGTGGAGTATATTATACGTTTTTTAATCAGTGGCATAAATGTATTTGTATACTTACATTTTTTCAGAGTTTTCACTGGAGCAAACAACATTCAATTGGCCAATGAGTAAAGCCAATGGATCTGTGATTCCGTATTGATGTCTGTTACAACGAACGATGTCATTCGAAAAGCCGAATCACGTGTGCCTGCAGGTGTCATGTGCGTATTTGGCATTTGCCTATTGTTTTAAAAATGAATGAGTTTGTTAATTAACTTATAAAATCAGAAATAGGCTTAAACCCTTAACTGCGATATACTCTATAGTTTTAAAAACCCCGCATGGCTTTCGGACAGCGGCTTAAGTGATTAAATTTTAACTACATATTTATATTAGCATTTTCAATAAATGGTAACAATTTCGAAATATTCTGTTCTTTTTCAGCTAGTTATGACTATAAGAAATTTTCAGAAATTTGTAAATTTTTTAAAACTATTCTCGATAAAAACACTTTCACTTAGTAAAAAAACCATTTTTGTGAAATATGTCCTAAGAAGAAAGAAAAATATAATTGATGTGCCTATTTAATTTAATTTAATATATTTAGGAGTTACATGATTCATTAGGTAGGTATAAAATAATATACATTCTTGCTAGGTAACCAACCTATTAACAAAAGCAATTAATATTTCAAGAAAAAGTTGTTTGGCTTAACAATTTAATGAATATTGTTGTATTGTATGGGAAGACATTGCATGGAAATATGGAATGCTCAAAATAAAATGTGAGTTATAGTACCCCTTGCCATTTTGTACCACTTTAACCTCTACTATCAGATGAGTGGTTTCCAAGTCCATTGGCATCAAAGATTCTCATTTTCACATTTATCTTTTATTCACATATGAAAACATTTTTATTTAGGGTATAATATATAATAATATGATATTGGGTCAAAAATACAGTCAAAAATCACACAGTAAAGCAGCTGAATAGTTTCAACTACCTACCTATAAAATATAATTGTAACTTCTTAATTGCATGACTTCCATGCAATACAGTAATAGTGTATTACCTACTAATGGTAATATTATTAACTTTATGTCTTTATAAGTTCACTACGATTGGAACTTGATCAAAACTACATCTCATCGATTACAGTACATATTACAGCAATATTGTAATAATTCAAATGCCTAATAAGATTTTACTATGAAATAAACAATAACAACTAAATATAATTTATAATTCAATAGTTTTAATAATTTCACTCATATTTTGTAAAACGTTGTATCTACACATAAGATTTTAGATTTAGGTGTACATACATAAAAGATTAGTATTTTTCCTAATTCTAACAATACAAAATTATTCTGAAAAAAAAAACAGAATAATTAAAACAAAGTTAAGAACCCTAATTGTTTTATAAATGCATAATTATACTTGATTTTTATTTGAGGAATTAGGAAATACAAATTATACATAAATTGTAAAAATTTGTTAAAAAGTTGTATGACAGTACAAAAAATTCAAATAAATGTAGATATATTTGTCAATCATACTATTGAATTATTTTAATTCTTCAATTAAAAATGTTTTGTTGTTACATAAAATGTATCACAAAGATATGATATGTTTAAAAGCATTTCAATGTGAAATTTTCAAATATCTGTGATACACTCTTTATATGTCGTGTATTACACTATGTTTAAGTTATATTTAAACACATTAAAGTCTTACAAAACATGACAAAAATATATCTTAAACAAAACATTTTAACAATAATCAATATACAGTAGTCTATAAATGTAAACAATTATGGCAAAATTTGTATGAAGTACTATAATTTATAATATTATGTAACATTCAAAATTGAAATCTATAAAATTATATTTTTAGACTAGATTAAATAGTTTTTCATAGTTTTGAGTATATAAAAAATATATAGTTAGATCTTACTCTTGATAGTAATAAAGGTAAAAATACAATACATTTCTACTTATTGTCGTCAACCTTAATAAAATGGCAAATATTAATCTTGATTAATCGGTTGTTAATTTACATCTTCCATAAAAAAAAAATAAAAACATCAAATCTTAAGTACTAACAGATAAATAAACAAACCCCAACAATTCAAATTTTGTGAACACATAGAAAAAACTATACCTCAAAATAAATATATTATATAATATAAAACACAAACATTTTAAATGTTTATGCTTTATTGACAAACTAAAATAACCAATTAATAATTTTTTAACTAAAAAAAAAACAAAAACAATATTAATAATTATTATAAAAAATGTGTGCGTTTTATTCATTTTGGAATGTAAAAATGTCCAATAAAAATAATTTACTTTCTACTAGATGATTTATTATAAAAATAACAATATTTAAATAATTTGAATTTTTAATTCTAATTTTAAAATTTGAGTAGTAAAAAATAATTTAAATAGTATAGTTGACAGAATATTGATCAATATATCGATAATTAAGTGAAAAATATGTGTAGTAAACTGTGATCATCCAAAAGAAATAGTTAGACAGTTTACTTTTTCCTTTTACTAATATTTTTATATAGATGTTGATATTATATAATAATTAACTCAAGGCCATACTTTTTTGAAGAGATCCATAAATGAATCATAAATCATGAATGTTATACCAACATCCAAACACACTCTGCTAAGACGTGGCACAGTTCCTTTGTAAAACCTAAACAAAAATATAAAATTGCTTATAAATGGAAAATGATTATGTTTTTAAAATATAAATGCATGCATATAAATTAAGTTGAGATATGAATAGAATACAAATGTTTGTTCATAATTAAATTAATTCTTACGCTGTGGGTCCTTCTTTTTTCCATATTTGAACCATGCAGTCAACTGTGCTCTTGTACTTATGGGCTTCTAGTCCTTGCATGCGTGTCTTAACAACATCTAATGGTGTATTACCGTACACACTAGCGGCACCTGCTGCCATACCAAAAACTCCAACTAATAGTTTAGGTACTGGTTTGTTAGGATCATCGCCCTTGTAGAGATTTTTTAATGCACCCATCACATAAAATCGAATTGCTTGGTTAGTACCTTGTTTCAATATAGTTGGCATCAATCCTTGATAAACACCACTAATACCTACAAAATAAAACAAAATATTAATTTTTTTAAACAAGTTTTAAATTTTCATTTTGAGAACATAACAGATGTCAGTTACTAACAGTAAAGTTCAAAACCTAATACTCTAATACCATGCCTAATAAAGCACAAATATGCTCTAAACATGTGAAACAAAAAAATATATTTGATTTTAAATCTTAATACATAATATAACCAAAAAAAAGAAGCTAAACAGTTTTATCGGGACACGTAATAATTAATCGAAATTAGTAATTACACATGGTCATAACTTACAATATTATTAGTAATAACTAATAACTAATAAGTATCAAAATGCCAACTATAAATTAGAATTATTTTTAAAACAAAAATATATATTACAATAACTATACAAGATTTTAATAAATGGATGTATAAGTTTTAAAAACAACACATAATTATGATAACCTAACTATGAGTTATAGAGCAATAAATATAATTAACCAAAAATAAAATAAAAATGTATGAATGCAATAACTTCTGAACCATAAGTAGTAGATAATGGACAAAATAGTCATTACATTTAATAACAACATAAAAGTTTAAAGTTTAATTAAAAATAATTAAATATTTAAATTTAAACACATAGATTTAATAATTAAATGTGAAATCTTCTACCATGACCCACCATTTTCGTGTACCTAATGATAAAATATGTGATTGACTTATTCGACTATGGGTTTTTAGTAACAAAGAATAAAACAAGTAAGTACTAACAATAACAATTTACATTTCAAATTTAGTTATTCCCACCAAAATATAGCTGAAAAAAAAGAGAGAGCTTTCAACAGAAATTTTTTTAAAAATCTTAAACCTACGTAATTTTATAAATATTAAAAAATTAAATGTATATGTGAAAGTAATATAAACTTATTATAAGGAATTTTATATTATTTTTATGATCAAAACAATTAATAAATTAAAGTTATATTTTGGTTTTTAAATTTTACTTCGACATAGTTCAACCAATTGTTTTTATAACTAATAATAATAATTTTGTTTGTTTCGACCTACATTTCTAAGGTCTATAAATAACATTTCACACATACTAACGAGTAACGGCCATCTTACAAATTCAGTTGGCCCTTAAATACTGTCCAGCTTGTAAAGCTTGTTGTTCTTTGAACAGTTAAAAATGAAACCCTTGATTAATTTGGATGTGTGGGACAAGTTGTATCTTAATTTATGTAGAATATCAATTGTGACAAATGTAAGTGCAAAGTGCAATACAACTTTTTATAAATTAAAATAAGACAATACTATAAATATGGAATAACTCATATTGAGTATCGTATTATTATTATTATTCATATTAACTAAATACATAATAATAATAGTTTCATATAATTTTGTTTTGTTAGTAACCTTGTTCTTTGATGATAATACTGGTCCCGTGGAAAAAACCTTTGAACCTTGGTTTTTCTAGTCGTTGATCATTGATAAACTTCACTTTCACGGTTTCCATTGGGGTGACTGCAAGTATGGCTTCAGACACACCAGCACCAAGACCACACAAGACTCTTTGAGTAGCTGTTAATTCTCCATTGCCTCCTGTCATTTGAGTGCTAAGAGCTTCAAATGCACCAAACCTATTCATAGAATTATTTTATTAAAATACATTATTTAACTAATACTAGTACTTAGTTTAAATATTTTTTTTTTTAATTTACCTAACAGCTGATTTTGGAATGGATCCATAAAGTAACACACTAAGTCCACGATATAGACCAAATACACCATGGCTTTTCACAGTCTTTTTAACACAATCCATTATACCATTATATTTTCTAGCACCAGCTTTTTCGTCTAGTTGAATTTGTGTTTTTACATATTCAGTTGGATAAGTAATACATATTTCTATACCTCCAGTAATTCCACCTATAAAACAAATAATTTAATTTAAAAATACATTCAAATGTTATGATTTAAAGATGAATGATTTGAAATCTAGTAAAATTATAGCAGTTTATAAAATTATTATTTAAAAGTATGTTTTATATTTGACTACAACACTTATACATCACCCAACAAATAATTGTGTTAGTATATTTATAAATGTCTAATAAATAACTATAAACTTGAGATAAATTGGTTTTTTTTTTTTAATTTATAAATTAATATAATATAATTAAGTCAAATTTATCTGGATTTTTTTGATAATTGATTAGGTATATTTTCTGAAAAATAAATGTGTGGGTTATTTTTATTATGTACAAGAATTATTTAAACTAAATTTTTTCTTAAAACTAGTTGAAACTTGCAACAACATTCTCAAAAACAAAAACGAGTAGGAAATCTGAATCTAAATTTATTTTAAAATTATAAATTTCTAACTTTATGAATAAAATATTACTGAACTATGGTTGAAATTAAATTAAACATTTTATTATAGGTAAACTAATAAATATAGGTATTCAATATTATTTGATTGCAAAATTGTTTTTAATAATATTAAACTTATACATTTTATATTTATAAAGACAAAAATTATTTTATCTATAAATAAATACAAAATTGATTGTAATTATTTTTCTTTTATTTCTGAAACTAACCTTAAAAGTTTATGTCAAGGTTAGACTCAAGAATAATAAGTTGTGAACTTTATTGTAATAAATACTATTTACAAATGTGTATATTATACTGTTTAGTGTAATTATTTTGATACTCGGCAGATATATTTTGATATATTAATATTAAATTTAAATTTATCATCTACATTCAAGATAATTTTCTAAAAAAATTTTAATTTTTTTAATTTTAAATTAAATTTTTTTTTATAACTTTGGATTGCTTTTTTATGGTTTTTTTTTTTGTTAGATAGGTTGCCATTAGCACTTTATAATATGTATTTGGGTATATTGATTTTTATGATAAAATAGTTTTCGATTTGTTTTACAACATAATTAGGAATTCAATATTGCCTACATAAATCAGGTAGGTACTTAATTACAAAGTCAATACCAACTAAGAATGAATTAGGTAATGAAATGTGTGAAGTAGAATTCAAGGTCAAAAAGTATATGCTCCCATTGCTCTCAATGACCTTTGTAAGGACTTTACAGTTATTACTATAATATGATGCTTATCTAGTAACTATATTATAAATGTTCAAAGCATTATCTAAATTCTATATCTATATAGTATATAGTTAACAATAAGATATATATTCGCTTATTAGTTCGTAAAAAAATGGTACCAAGAAAGCACAAAAATTCAGAAAAATACAAATATAATTTAAAATGTATCCAATAATATAAAAAAAAATATATATATAATTTTACAACTTTTTAAGCTAAAGATAAATTTCAAAAAATAACAGAAAACAACTAATATTTGTTTTCCATAAAATGTATATTATATAATAGTTTGATGATTAAGGGCATGTCATATGTCACAGTCGAATCAACACAATATGTTATCTCTGTTTCTAAGACTCAACACCCGTCCCAGTAAATGTAATAAATTGTATGTAAATCCAAAGCGGTGGGTATAAGCTTTAGATTAGTAGGTAATAGTAACCTAACCTATAATGAAATGTAAGTAATAAAATAATCATGTATAATTTACAGATATAAGTAGGTAATGTTTAAATGTCGTAAGGTCAGAATGTTCTGAAATTAGTTTTAAAATCTACTGTTTTGGTTTTACAAATAATACATTTTCTATAGGTAATACATTATTTACAAAAACAAATTCAAATAGCAAATGTTTATATTTTAATTTTAATTGTCTTATAACACCTTCATAACAAGTGAATTGATTACTACCTAATTAAATATAATCAAATACCTAGGTACAATTAAATGATGTAATGGAAATTATTGAAATTGTATTATAATTTATAACTATTAATAGCTATAACTAATTAATACCTAGGAACTAATATTATTTCATTGATTAGTTTTAGTTATAAAGTCAATCATTTTATGGTTTTTTTGTAGGTGTAGGCGTATAGGTTAGGTTTATTAAAGTTGGCCAAAATAGTTAAAATGCTGAATATGTAATAAGTATTATTATGAATACATTATCTATATAGGTTACACTATTTTCACTAAGTTTAATAAAGTCATGAAATATAGAAAGAATTTTACTACAACAATAAAACAACAAATATCTATGCAAGAGACACACAATTTAAATGTGCCTCTGACACTCTAAAAGGTATGCCAATACAATATATTTAAACAAAATCTAAGGTATTAGGACTAATAAGGGGATTAATTTATTAATTAAACACTAAGAATTTTTTTTAAAGAAAAAAAAACAGAGTTACACAAGGTGTTAAAACATTAAAATTATAGAAATACTTTTGAATGGTTTCATTCTATATTTTTAATCTTATACCATGCCTGTATCTAACTTAACTTGGCACTTGTGTAGTGTGTATGATTGTGATAGCTACTTGGCAAATATTTTATATTTTCAGAATAAATATTATGTGTATCTGAAGCACTTCAACTAGATATTTAAATTTTTAAGTAAACATAAATAAATGATAATTTCTCAAGCTCCGAGCATAAAATATATAACTATTGAAAGATGGCAAATAAATAAATAAAGATTTAAACTGTAAACTTTATAAACAGGCAGGTAGGACGTAGGTAATATAGTATACCTAGGTAATATATTATAATATATTATTATGTACTTGTGATATTATTATATATTTATATATTTTAAATATCTACAGCTATTAAATACAATATTAGCAGCAATGTTTAAATAACATCTCACCGGCAACGATGCCCTTCAAGCCCTTGTTGGATCCACCTGCTGGTGCAGCAGCTCCATACGTTGTCATCCATGGTCGGTAAAATGGGCTCACGAATTTGTTTTTTCCGTCCATTATGTTTATGACAATAATTTATTATTTATATAATTTAATGTGTAAAAATTTTTATTATAAAACAGGTACAAAAAGTGTACCGATAATAGTTGTATTATTATGTTTTTGAAATAATTGTTGCTTAATAAAAATGAAATAAAAATTAGAAAAAATAATTGCTAAATTGCTAAATAATAAATAAATAAAATTCCTACGACTCAAGCAACAACGACAACCATGCTACCTCCAGCTGCAACTATTCTATGTTCTGTAATAGTTGATAGTTCTCTAGTCACCACTTGCCATTAAACACATCCAGCCCGGCCAACGCCAATTTGTTATCTCGGATGAAAACGTTGGTACATTTTGATAACAGACCGACCGAACAGCTGATTCTACTATCACCGGCTCGCAATGTCACTGGAAGTCCTATAAAAAAAATTGCTTTTTATAGCTCGGCTGTCTATTCCTAAAACACAGTAAGTGACATTCTTATCAATTTACGTTTTATTGGTTTATCTTGTTCCACATAGTATTCCGGTTGTAATGGTATCAAAATTGTTACTCTGGTCCTACTGTACTATGAGATATGGTCAATTATATACACTAGTTCTCCATCTAGTTGCACGGACAGCGCCTTCACTAATTTGCTTCTCCTGAACAATTTTGTGAAATACACTTACTGTGTTTTATGAATAGACAGCCGAGCTTGTTCATAACTTACAACTACATGTCAACATGTCTACATGGCGTCATAGTAACTATACATAATATTAACTATTAAGTCACGACTACTTGGTAGGTATTAATATTAAATTTAATATTAATTAAATAAAATGTTGGTACGTTGTTACTTATTGGTACTCGCACTTCAGAACTTAGGTACCTACCTACTACCTACTCTTTACTTATTAGTTATTTACTTATTTGTGATCAGACATCAGTACCTAATCATGGTAGCATGATATAACTAACTTAGTTAGTACTTAGTAGATAGGGTGTAACCACTAGCCGGTGGCCGATTTCTTTCATAAAAAATAGTCCCGGTTGTTAAAGTTGTTAAACCATTATAGACTACATAGTAATAGCCAATAGGTATAAACCTACTTACCTACCTATACTACAGGGCGAATGTAAGTTCCAACACGAAAAAAAATTACACCCCTACGTAAGTCCCCTGACGAAAAAAAAATTACACCGAATACAAACTTCCTTCCCACTTTATTCAGACTTAGGACTGACAACTTAAATGTACCTAGTTGGTGTGGTTAAAATTTGTTTGTTTTTGTGTTGCATAAAAAAAGTCCAATCAATATTTTAATTGAATCTAGTCCAAATATATAATAAAAATTAATAATAGAATGTGTATAGGTATCAGTGGCGCAACCAAGGGGGTGTCTCCAGGTCTGGACCCCCCCTCGACACGTATAATAGTAGGTATATTAAACATAGGTATATTCAATATTGTTTATATAATTAAGATAGATGATTTATTTTGTCATACCCCCCCCCCATGAAAAATTCCTGGTTGCGTCACTGGTAGGTATGGTACATATTATTTATATGATTTGCCTAAAAAATAACCCCGGAAAAAATAACCCCGGAAAAAATAACCCTGAAAATAAGAACCCCGAAAAAATAACCCCACGAAAAAATAACCACGGAAAAAATAACCCTATAATAAAAATTTATTATTTATTTATTTATTTAATTTTTTATTTATTCGACGTATTGTTCCACATCACGTAGGTTTCGTCAAAATATTGAAATAACTCCTCGGAAGAATAATTAATTTTAAATATTCAACACCTTCTTGTAACCTATTTAGTGGTAAAAAAAGCCAAGCCATCTAACATAGGTAGGTACCACAGAATTAATTAAAATCATAATCTTCTTGGTATTTTTTTTTAATCCTAATTCTGCCAATTTTCTGTGAGTACTCTGGCATAGCCGCATAGGTGATAGAAACATCCGTTTATTATTAAATGTTCACATAATACATTTTTGCTGCATTTATTAATGCCTTTTCGAAGTCTATTTTTTATATTTTGTGGATCTGGAAAAAGATTGTTCTTTTCGCAGACTGATGAAATAGCTTTGAATATTATTTCGTAAATAGATTGATTTTTTTTTTCAAGTAAACAGTAAAAAACAGTAAAAAATGCACTATATTTTTCAATTCGTATGATGTAGAGTTCTGATGTGGAGCTATGAATTGTTTTTATCGTGGGTATATAGTATATACAATAATTTATCATTGAATCCAAAGTTAATATTGTACGTAGGTAATAGCCAATAGGTAGGTATGTTATACATTTTGTATTGATTTGAGATTAATTTGGAATATGGGGTTATTTTGTCGGTGGTTATTTTTTCGCGGGGTTATTTTTTCGGGGTTCTTTTTTCGCGGTACCTATTTATATATATAGGTATAAAATAATAATAGTTATAATAATTATAATAATAGTAATAGAAAATATTAAATTTTATTTGGCTTATTGCGAAAGCTCAAACACCTTCACATATAGTCATACACTCATACGTACTGTGTAATTATTTTTAAGTTATAATCTGATATTTTGTTATTGATATAGTACTCCCCTAGTATTTGGGCTAGTGCTAGTTCTGATACAAGTCTTACTACAAACGCTTTTTAAAATTAAAAATAATATGTGGACCACATACCTACACATTATATTATTAATTTTTATTATATATTTGGAACAACTACGTTTAAGTTGTAAGTCCTAAGTCTGAATAAATTGTCGTGTGGGAACTTACGTAGGGGTGTAATTTTTTTCCGTGAGGGAACTTACATTAAATGCTATGTTTCGTGTGGGAATTTACTAAACAGCTGTAGGCTGTTCTTGAAAATTTTCGGGTGGCCTGGTCGGGTATCCAGCTAGGTACAGCAAGTAAAATATTAAATAACACCTAACACCTAGGTACCTCCTATAATAGTTATATTATACTATTATAGTACAAATGCAAATTTAAATGGTAAATTAATAAGACTGCGAATATGATATACATAGCTGGTATTAGCTAGTCAGCTGCTTAAGGTAACCAGGCACCAGCCGTGCTCTTTTACTGGGATTTGTCCTGTTTTTATCGATGTCCTCGATTAACTGGACTTAACAACACATTTAAAATGTGATCTTTCTTACTCGTAAGTGTTCAATATTTGATAAAAAAAAGAAAACGTACCTAATTTCAAAACAAAATGTCTGAAAAACATCAGATACCTAAATTCATTTAATAAAATGCAAAATTATTCTGCTTCAGAATAATAATAATAATAAAAACCTACTGAATATTTGTATTTCTGATCTCAATTCGAAATAAAATAAAAACCAGGTATTAGGTAAATAATACCGATAAAAAATAGTAACATATACCTAATTATTTTCTAAAATATTTAAGGCCGTTTTCAAAAACAGTTTTCGAAATAATGAATGTCTCAGGCGTCAATCAAATTCCCCAATCCTAGGTATATATATTACAAATTATAATATATATAGTATTAATTTATAAATATATAATAAACCAATAGGTAAATAAAATAAGTACAGTATAGAGGATAACAGAAATGTTTTTTTCAGTTAGAGCCTTGGCGCCTGGCGGGGGTTATAGCTGGTAACTATACTGTTGCGGCTTATAATAATTTGACATTGGTATTAAATATTATTACGTAAAAACCGTACAAATGTGTTATAATAATTTTCACGAATAAAGAAATTTGGGGCCTTACCCCTCCTCCTGAGTGCTAAACTGAGTATTGGGTAACTATATAAACTAAATCTACTATGTAACTCTGCAGGTGATGTCACGTCGTCGTCCGATGGTCATAAACGAGGAAAACAACTGAATTGTAAATTATTGTATTTGTATAGGTTTACAACAAAACACAACTGCATATAACTATATAGACATAACACAGCCAGCAGGTATATATATATATATATATAGGTCGTCGTCTGACCTTCTCCAGACTACTTACTACACAGTACACAATCCTGTTTACTAATATTATACGATATACCTGTTACCTGTATTGATAGGTATAGCAGGTGAACTGGTAAAATATTTAAAACATGGTACCTGGCACCGTAGCTATCATACTTATTACGTCTTATTATCTATCATGTTAATATGTTATAAAATACAGTATTATTTGAATAAATATTTTCAAACTTGGTAATACGAATTAAGTTACAATAATAATATACAACCACGAGAATATGAATATGATAAGTACCAACTTCTAAGGCAGTAAGATATAATATATATATATATATATATATATATATATATAAATATATAATCATTGCTGCAATACCGGCTATGTATGTAACCTATACAAATAATAATTTGAACAAAACAAAATATATTTGAAAGGAACAAATTGATTTATATTAGGAAAATATTAATTTAACATGACTATAAAATGTATTAATTGATTAGTAACTATATAATATTATCATTTTGGGGCAATTAATGTTGACTCATTAAGTTAGAAACTACTTTAAAAAAAAGGAACTCGTTACCTATGTAACTTAAGTTACTTAACTTTTTAACTCAGTAGGTAATACCCGACTTTGCCTGCCGGCTGCCTGGTATAATATTTTACTATAGGTATCGTAAATTTTAGCATTTATATTTTATATTAATATAATATAGGAAGTAGGTACCTAGGTACCTTGTACACTATATAGTCACTAATGTAATATAAAGTACTTGAACTTAGGTTTTATTTCCAAATCAGAAGTATCAAGTAGGTACCTACCTATAATTAATCTTCCATTTAAATTATGTAAGTGGTGCACTGGTGCGGTATAGGTAGATATAGGTACTTATTAAATATTAATACTTATAATTTTACCCGCACTCATCATTTCGCATACAGTCATATGCTCCTCATACAACATAATAATAATACATTTATAAAACTATATAGTAATTAGTAGGTACATAAGTACCTACATTAGTACCTCTATATTGATAGGTGATAGCAATGGTGTAATATTATTTTTGTGGGGGGTCTGACTTAAGCCGATGCCTGGCTAGTTGTTTGAACAAAATATCCCTATTTTTTAATAATTTGGGGGAACTTTACACAGGAATTTTGTATTAAGTACCTAGGCGTACTACGAAATTATTGTCACAATGATAATGGTTTTTAAATTTTTTATTTAATAATAAATATTATAGTTATTACAGAACTAATTTAGATAATCTAATTTAAGATTGGATAGTTGTTATACTTAGAAATTATAAGACACGTGAACCTGTATATATCCCATATAATTTTATTTCTAAATCGGTTGGCTTTTTTTTTATTCCAACACGGCAACACGTCTAGTCTCAACTAACTACCTACCAACTACCACAATGACAATTATTTCTAAAGACTTAACAACCACTCTTAAAAGCTTTATCCCGTGATTAGTGATTACTAAAGATTAAAGAATCTTTGATTTTATTTAATATTTTTCACTTTTTCAGTTAGATATAATTAGGTAAATAAAAGCAGATAGCAATCGTTTTTAATGTTGTAAAACCTGTAATAAACTTGTTTGGCACTACTAAAAAAAAAAAAATCTAAAATGATGCCTCTTGTGTAGGTATAGTAAGTATAAGAGACTACCTACAGAAATATGTTTGACCCCCTTTGTCTACACTGTGCCTTTAATACGATTGATACCACTGGTATCGAAAATAACTGTTCCTAGTTGAACTTGAATACTTGGACAGTGGACTTGAATACCTGATAATATATGGTTTACAAAATACTAACAATACACTTACTTCGCAGTTCGCCGGCAATCGCCAATAAAGGCTAAAATAACCTTTTTTTAGTTAGAAAAATGTTTTTCGGGGTACTCCAACAATATATTATTCTATTGCACATTTGGCCTTAAATAATAAATTAATAAAATAATGCATGTAGGTAGTAGGTACAAAGTATAATGTAAGAAGATATGCCAAATTAATTTAAAACTAATAATTTCATAGTAAAAAATAATATTGCAATTTATAAACGTATTTAACAATCAAATAGCTTCTTTGGTATACCCGAAATGTACCTCCACAATATTTTCGTAAAAAAAAAAATTAAAAGTTGAGGTACCAAGGCACACACCAAAAATGTCTCCTAACCGTGAGTTAGTAAAAAACACTAAGCCCGTACAACGACCTTCGCTTCTAGCGTACGATCTCGCACAGTCGTACCTACAATTCCGCCGAATCCCTCGACTTTATATGTCACCTAGCACATAATGCTTCACTGGCAGGGGCGGCTCCAGAGACATGGTTGGAGGTGGGGCTAAGTTATCATTTTTGATATTATAATATGTTTTATTTGTAATTTTGTTCTTAACAATAAACAATTTTTTTAGAAATACGGTATTTGGAGGTGGCGGCTGGCCGAGTCCCCTAGCCACCCTTCCCCCTGGAGCCGCACCTGTTCATTGTCCTGACTGTCTTGATATAATATTAGTTGCTAAGAACAAGAGTAGTTGTAGTTCATACAGCTGGAACTAAAAAATCTATAAAATATATAAACATAATATTTTTTATAGACATTTTAAGTTCAAATTTTGGAAAAATTAGATTTTAGAATGAAGAATAATGTTTAAGAGGACTTCACACTTACAATTTGCTTAATATATTGTCTTCATCTTAATAGTGTAGAAGACAGTACAACATAGCAAAATTTCATTCAGTGCCATCAGCAGAACCAATATTAGTGACTACAGTTAAATGACCTATTACCTACCTAACTTTTAAAGTTAAGAATAGGTAGTATCTTTGTTTCAATGTTAGCAAGGTTACAGACATTTAACACGTTTTAATTTTGAAGTGAGTGTGAGGACTTTTATATTGTAATATTTTACACATTTATAACTCACTTAAAATTTAAATACCTAAGAAAAACCAGAAATTAAAAAACACAAATAATATTCTTACCTTTAAGTTTAATAATGGATCCATTCACATGTCACTCTAATATTAAAACTAACAACACAAAATTGGTTCTGCTGGATGGAAACTTACAATGTTGTACATTTGTAAGACAGAGCTAATACAAGTTATGTGGCCGTGACATCCTCTTAATTATATAATTTTAAAAACTCCATGCACATATTTTACTAAGTTTAAAGTATAAAGCTATAAAGATAGATATATCATAACTATAATCAATGTAGTACTAATTGACTACAAAAATGTATATCTATCAAACTCTTATTATTTTGAAATTGTCTAAAAATGTTACATTAGAGTATAATATATATTATTTAGGTGATTTGAATAAATGATAACAATTAGGAAAATAGTTGTATAGCTAAAATACTCATCAAAATTAAGAAAGTATTTTATTCAAGATTATTCTAGGCCCTTGAAACTTTAAGCTAAAACAAATTATTTATTTGGTAAATAAATAAATAAACTTTACTCTTAGTATGATATTTAATAACGATAAAAAATGTATTACATTATATTATATGATTTCATAGAAATCCTTAAAAACTTATATACTATATACATGAGAATACAATTAAAAAATATTATAACCGTCATGAGACATTCTTACTCAGTAAGAAGACTGATAAAGCTTAGTAGTCATATCATAGCAGAAAATCATTTTAACAATTGTTTTGTTCAATGAAAAATGTATACCTAGACTAAAAATATAAAAAATTATAAACATAATATAGCTGCTAAACTTATAAGTAGATAACATAATGATTTAATTAATTAATGTAAAATGAACGAACAAATAAAATAAAGAACTTATAGTTATAAAGATTTGCATAATTTGTTATATATCATATTGGCATGTTTATACATTTTATAGTAAATTAACCATGCCAAAACTTACCAATGAACCAGTAGAAATTCCAATACCAAGGAATGTAATCATCAATGAACTCGCCATTTCCAGTTCATGCTTGTCAACAAAGCTATTAGCAAAAAAAAAAAAAAGATTTAATATCAATATCAAATACATTAATTATTTACAACATTTAACAATAGTCAATAGTAACTATACTTACTAGGGAATAGAAGCCATTGTGATGTTAGAAACTATACCATTGGTAAGACCAAAGATAGACATAATGACAGCATATAACTGATCATTGTTTATTAAGACGGGTAAATAATGCCGAGGCTTTGCGTTACAGAGCATCATCAATGGAATAAAAATAGTTCTCAAAGCAGATAATACTGTGGCTGGCCAAATACTATTGACTGGCTGTAATATTACAATAATTAATATCATTATAGTTTCATATTATTCCAAATATAAACATATTTGGTTTTATAAATTAGTAATTACCAGTGGTATGAGGTTTGACATTACTCTCCCTAAGAAATCACACGTACTGAAAAGTAAATAAGCTATCACTGGCAAAAAATATGTATCTAAATATGTAAACATCAATATTAATATAGTCACCTATATTGATAAAATACAAATTAAGGTTTTAATTAATGTTTACCTGTCCAGACAGTGTGTTCTTTGTTCACTGAAGTTATCAATACAGTAACTGCTGGGTAAACAGACATAGTGACTAAAAAATTATAGAAAGTGCTCAAACCCAATTTCCATATCTATTAAAATGAAAAATAAATATCAAACATTTTGAATCATATAAATAATCCTAGTAAAAATTATAAAATATAATAAATGTTCATCTTATATTATAATAATTAGGTAGTTAATATCAATATGATATTATATATCCCATCCTTATTTCAACAGTTATAAATTAAAGTATTGTTGAGTTTTCATGGTTTAGAATTTTAGAAGTTTAAAAACAAACAATTATATACCTTTTTTAAAACCACATATGTATCAGCAATAGGAGTTCGTTCATTGCCAAGTAAAGCATATTGTGTAGAAGATGAACGTCTAATCCAGGCGCTTGCAGGTACGTCTTGAACATAATACTTATAAATAGTCTAAAATAATGAATTTTTTTTGATTAGTTAATACAAAATAAAATAAAGAATTGTGGATCATTTTTTTTAATTGCCTTATTTCTCCACAAAAAATGACTATGGGTTTTGTTACTTCTTTTGATTACTCTAATTTCATATTTTATAATAAAAAAATAACATTTACAATTTAAAAACTTCATTAGGTGAGATTACAGGTTGAGTGAGGTTATAAAATATGAAATATTTTTATTATTATTTTAAACATTTTATTTTGTGACAAGTGCATTAAAATGTGAAATAACTTGAAGAACAAAACTTATAACCATGATTGAATGGATAGCCTAGTCTATATACATATAGACTAGACTAGAACTTAGTAAGTTGCATACAAAACATGATTAAATGTAAATATTTTTAAACTTAAAAAAATAACTATTTTGAAATTAAATCATGGTATTTTAAAATGTACTAACTGTTTTGACTAAAATAGCATATAAAACTAGAGAGAGCAAGATGAATATATCAGCAAATAAGAAATAAACAAAGGCACTGTGGACAGACGATGCACCCCACCACAAAGCCAATATTTGAGCTAATGCAGCGACAATGCCTCCCAATGCTTGACCACATACAGTTGCTGTCATGTAGCTACTATCAAAAAATGTGACTAAATTGAACACAGCTCCTTGCATTATAGAACTTCCAACTAAAAAAAGACATGAGTTTTATTAAATATTTTACTTCAACTGATTTACTTCAACAGAAGTAATAATAGCTATGTTAACCGAACTCACTGTTCAAAAAAATGACTGTTCCTAAGGTAATTATAAAGAACAATATTTGCCATGAATCGGAATCCAAATTAACTAAAATTGTTGTAATTGTGAACAAAACAAGCATTAACATCAATGAACTGATCATTCGAAAATGAATTGACATCCTAGAAATATTAAACTTTTTTTAGCTTTTAAGATATTTAACTATCCATAGTGAATGTTATTATATTATTGTATTACTTACTTTTTAGCTAAATATGTATTTAGTAATAAGGTTAATGAACTAGGAACTGATGCGGCAATGGTAAGAAAAGAAGTGAAGTTAGCTTGAAGTCTTGAATGACCATGGTCCTCATTCGGTAGAAGAAAAATAACTTGGGTATCATTTGGCAAATTGCGTAGTTTATACATCCAATACTTGAGATTAAAACATAACATACAAATGCGATTAGGTGTATACATTGGATAAGTTACTATAGATGTACAACCCAAATTCATACAATCATACAATGAATAAGCAAAGATAAAATTTATTTTCAATTTAATCTGCCCTATTCCTTAATCTCATTTGTATATATGATACAACGAGAACTAATAACTACTGGTTGCTATTAAACAACAATACATTTTATCTAATTTTAGATAGAACATTGTTATATCCTGAAGGTAAATAATACATGACGTATTGTAAAGAACGGATATCAAATGTATAATTTTTTAATAAAAGTTTAATAAATATAACAATAATTACATTTTAATTTAAAATGTATATTATGGTTTATATCATTTATTAATATAATTTGTGATATATAATATTATAATTATTTAAGATAAAAATTATATAACTTACATCATTTGCAGTCATAAAAAAGTACCATGGAAGTAGAAGACAAGTACCAAGTACATAAAATATTAAAAATCCAAAATTGTACCTGAAACAGAAAATGTAATACAGTTAATATAAATTGAGTTATAAGTAATTATTTTAAAGTAATTAATTAGTACACATTAAAACTTTTTTTTCATAATTTTGAACTGAAATTTGGTACTTTATAAATATAAATAGACATACTAACCAAACAGTTATAGAATTCAATGAACATTTTTAGGTTTTTAGAAATTTTCTTTACATATAAATTATATTTTACCGGTCAGGTGGTTTTGTTAGAACAGTGTTGCATTCGTTAACAATTATATCATCAACATTTTTATCTAATACTTCTGGAAGCCCAAATAATCTGTTGCTAACTGTGTCGCCAAATACTAGAGGGTCCTGTTCGTCCATATTTAATACTCTTTAAAATCTAGACAAATATTTAAATGTTAATACATATATGTACACGTTTAATAAACAATACAATTAGATATTTATTGACAACAATAACCATAGTATTTATTAATCCCATGGACCAAATAGACCCTTTGTTTAAGTATGTAACAAATAATTAATGATCAAATAATTATAATAACAGTATAACACTTATATCAATGTAGATTCTTATATTATTGAGGAATAAAAGGTACATACCTTTTATATTTAATCTGATTACCATGTATTCAGATTACTATTGACTATCCGCGAAAGAAAAAACCAAATGCATCATAAAGCTTATTGACGTTTACAACGTTAAAATTAATTATATGTTACTTGTATTAATTGTTTCATGCATATTAAAAATAATAATGTAACTGGTCAAATAATATGTTCTAAAACAATAGTCATTTAATATTAATAAAAATAATTATAGTGCCCACTGATCATATACCAGTGTATAGTTTAGTCTGCCCAGAGTACTATTAAAACTGTCATTAAAAAACTAAAATAAAATTTTGTTTGAAAAAAAAATTAAATTATTTATTATTGTTTGATTATAAAATATTATTAAGAAATTAGAATATTGCGTTCTATCATATTGACATTATTTCTTATTTTAAAAACAACAGAATGTTGTTGTACGGATTGTGATTATTATTATAAATCATAACACTATAATATTATAAGATAAGAGTGCCTACCTATTATAGTAATATAGTATTATAATTGTTTAGGACGCAGGTCACAGACATAACAAAATAACAATATGTAGATTAATCGAAACCAAATACTTCAAATATCGTTTCGATAGTTCTTACTATCGCGGAACCACACTATCGCAAGTTACTACTACGTAGCATCGCGCCCACAAATTAAGGGTCCAAAATGTTGAAATATTTTGATATACGCTGCTATAAGTCATGATATGAGTATATAACTACCTGTTAGTTATATACTGCTATAAGTTATAACTTATAACCATATACAGGATAATAGTATAAGGCGTAATTCAACAAACATGCTCACCCCCTTTGTTTTTTTCAATACCCAATGCAGTTTTTCAAAATCAGGTTTTTGGGAATTTCAAATTAGGTACACTAATTTAGGAACATAATATTTTCTAGTTCTTGAGATCTTTTGTACAATTTAAGGAGTATTCTGTGGGTTGTGAAGTAGGTACTTCTGTTTTTCAAATGAGAAGTATTGTGGACTTTTCTACTCTAAATTATTTAGCGGATATTTTTACAGAAAATGTCGTCATTATGTCATATTTAAATCCACCCCCCCCCCCCACCAAATGTATATATTACATGAATACCTACTAATTTTATTAGACAAATTAGTAAAAATTGTGTTTTTTTTATTATTATTGACTGTACATTATAAGTAGTCGAAATCGTGCTTCGATTTTCAACTTCAGTATATTTTCTGGTGAAAGTATTGGTGGCTGGTGCATTCGGGACAGTGGCGGTCAAACGGTGGGAGGACAAGGGGGATAGATCCCAGGAATTTAAAATTCTCAGTAGTTTTCAAAGGCGTGGGGAAAAAAAATAAGGAAAAATGGGAATTTTTGACAAAATTGTTTTTGGTTTTTAATATAGGTAGGTAAACAACGTATAAGTAACGTAGACACATGAAATCTTTAATAAATGTTTATATATTATCTATAAACCATACAATTTTCAAAATATTTTGTCCATGTTGGTCGGTTTATAGACATATTATGGAATTTTTATTTGTATTAGTTTTTTTAAAATAAATGTCTATAAAAAATTTGAAAATGTAATACAAGGTTCCTCCTAAGTTGTTGTGAGTGGAAATTAAAAAAAAAAGTTGAGCGTAAATCCACAGTAATTTTTTATGAGTGTGAAAATTCTAAATTTTGATAAAATTCGTAAAATTAATGAACATTTGCAAATTATTTTGAGTTAAAAATTCATAAACATTTTTCATTTTATATCTAAGATTTTAAAATTTAATACAATATTCCTCATACATTTATTTACATTTTATAAAAAAAAAAAATATCTACCGGAAAATCAAATTAAAATTTTATGAGCTTTTGAAGTTCAAATTTTTACAACATTTCTTAAAACATATTCACTCAATTTCTAATGGAATGATTTTCTTATTTTGTTGTAATTCAAAAATGATTAACCATATAGATACTTCAAATTTACACCAAATATTTATTTTATCTTATTTTATAAATTATTTTAGATTTTTTTTACAATTTACTTCTTTGGGTCAAAAAGCTTGAAAATTGAATATACGATTCCTTACACATTGTTACAATATCAGTTCAAAAAAAATTTAAAATACATAAGGATGCTTATTTAACCTAACCTTACCTAACCTGACAAATTTTGTCATATTATTTTAAATTTACAAATTATACAACTGTTGTTTTTGTGTACCTTTAAAATTACAATTTTGTCTTTCTTTTCCATGTTTTTTTTTTTATCGATTACAGTCTTTTTTTAATTAGTCAAAATCAGAAAAATTATTAATCGTAGATATAGTTTTGAAACATTCCACTGATAGGTCATAGCCATCACAGATAATATGTATAAAAATATGTTTATTATATATAATCTGTGGTCCAGTGTTTGGTAATTTTCTTTCTAAAAAGGAATTCGTTCCGTTTCTTGTTCCTTAATAAAAAAAAAAGAATTCGTTCCTTTGGAAAATGAACGAGTTCTTTTTTTAGTTCCAAATAAAATAAAAATTCGTATTTAATCATTAATGTTTTTTTTTATATTATGCATACTTCTTTAATTTTTAATTATAATATATAACTATAGGTACAAGTAGGTACATATTTTATATGTTTATAATTTATATAATATATATTACTATATATTTTGAGATTTTCTTCAAAATTAAATTTTTGGCTAAAGTATGTGGATTGTCTTAACGTCGATACTCGATAACGATCAGCGATCGCAATAAACATTATACACATTAAAAAATTATATCTTAATTCCAATTTTTACATACTTATCCGAGTAAATTATTGGAACTAGAAAGGAACGAAAGATTTTGGTCATTTTCTAGTTCTTTTTTTATAAAAAAAAGTGCCGCTCTTTAAAAATGAATTCGTTCCAGGAATCCGTTCCTTTTGGAACTCGTTCCTTCCAAACACTGCTGTGGTCATAGCCAATATAGCCATATAGACAGTGTTGTAAAAAATACTTTTAAAAAGTATTTGAGTAATTACTCAAATACTTATAAAATAAAGTATTTAAAATACCACCCAAATACTATCTATTGTAAAGTATTTGAAATAATTTTCAAATACAAAACAAAAAAATACGTACGTATACGACATACCTTACCTACCTAATGTTCGTATTATATTTCGCTATGATAATATACTATATTGGTAGGTAGTAGGTACCGAAACGTACCGTTCCGATCGTCGTCGAGTGTCGACGATAAACAGACGGTTTCTCAGACTAACTAATATTAATTAGCTATTAATAGACGAAAACTAAAACCAATATAGAATTGTTCATAAATGATAAATATATATTATAATATTATTAAGACATTATTATTATTTGACAATGAATAAAAAGTTGAAGGAATAAAAAAAGTATTCAATAAAATAGTATTCAATAGTAAAAAAATGTATTTAAAATACCGTTCAAATACTTCAAAAATAAAAGTATTTGAAAAAGTATTCAATACGGAAAAAAGTATTTGAATTTTGAATACTTTTACTCAAATACTTTACAACACTGCATATATAGATTATAGATTATAAAATAAATAGTATTTACTAAATAAATATAGGTTTATCATTTTCTACACAAGATACAATTTCCATAATATATATACTAATATACAGAGGACGGGCATACCTACTAACTATCGAGGAATTATTGGAAATAATGTCCAAAAAAAGAACTCTATGAAATAATATCAAAAAAGGAAGAAATGAATGGATTGGACATACAGCCATACAGGGTGTAACAGAAAGACCTGTGAAAAAATATGATAACTACTACTTAAACGTATGGCATTTATTAATAATTAATTTACTCAAAAAAATATTGATATTTAAAAAAATTCTTGAAAATAAACTAGTTGACTTGGATAAATGTTTTTACTATCAAAATTGTTCTTATAATAATGTTCTTATAATCAGATTCACAAATTGGCTATTTTGAATATATCCAAAAAAAGTTAAATCAAAATTAAATTTAGTATTAATAAATGCCCTGAATACCTAATATACAGGCAGAACTTATTTTAAAAGTGTTTGGAATGCAACGAATGAGTGAAAATATGTTGACACCATACACAGTGGCGGCGCCAGAACTTTAATACCAGGTGGGCCAGGCTGGGGCCCAAATTTTTTAGGGAGGGCCAAATTGTTGACTTGATATATATATATATAAACAATAGTGATGACAGGCAATTGCGCAGAGGGGTAAGGGGGAGGGTCAACTTCAAATTTTTTTTACACTTCATCGTGTAAACTTACTAAAACAATGATTTGTAAACATGTATTGTATTAATAGTATTTATTTCCTAACAAAATATTTATTCATGTAAACACTTTTTAATTTGTATACTCCCTAACCCATAATTACACTCAATACCAACGAATATTTAATAATAATTTATTATTTTCGTATTCAGCCTCTGGAAAATACACGTTATTTGTGAGGCTTGAAAGCATATATAGAGCATAGAAGTCAACCCATTCAAAATGTTGTTCACGCCACCTATTATGACTTAATATTTTCATACTTTAATAAATCATGATTTATTCATGAGATATTTTTTAGTATTCTAATATGATTAAATTTAATTTTTGGGGTGGGCCACAGGGGGGGGGGGCCTGGGACTTTTTAAGGTGGGCCCTGGCCCACCCCTGGCGCCGCCACTGACCATACACCTATAAACTTAGTTATGGTTTACACAATTACACAGTTTGAATTTTGGGGTGGGAGTTAGTG